ATACCTCAAATATGAAAACTTATACAAAAGAAGGACTACATGATCCTGGGAGAAATAAGGCTCACCAAGACTGCTGTGAGGAGAGAAAGAGAGCACCACTATCTGCGATCGGCACTATCTGCGATGGAACCACCTACATCCATTCAAAGATGTAGCACCCCCGGCAAAAAGGGATGTTAGTACTGTCGAATAGTACTAGTATGTAAGCCAAACACCAATCTTAGTAGAATGAACAGTGAAAGAAAGAGAAGGCAGTCATAATAATCAATAAGTACTTCACAGAAATACAAAGAAACACCAAGTAAGGATCACATAGTTTCCAATTTAATCTTTCCATCCTTTGAGGTTAATAATCTTTAATGCCAAAGCCACAACTCACAATGCCATCGTGTTTTTACACGGAGTCCGGTCTCGGCCCGACCGGCTAAGCCATCTCAAGTGGGACATATCCATATCCACAATGCAAATCAATAATTCCAACACAAATGCCACCATGTGTACAACATGGCGTCCGATCTCGGCCCGATCGGCTAAGCCATATCACTTGAGACATAACCTCTTTCAATTGTTCACTCAATTCACATCTCTTTCCCATCTTTCGTTACATGGCACAAACAGCCTCATTTATTAAGTAGTTCTTGGCACTTGGGAACATTTTACAATTCAAGTTTTTCCCTTTGTATTCGTTCAAATAATATCATCATTCATGTCGATAAGTACCATCACATAAGGTATTTCACACATAAGGGAAGGAGCTCGAAAAATTATGATTTCGTTCTCAAATAGCATGATGACGTGGTAACCATCTAAAACAATTAGGGAACATGAATCTTTCAATCCAACACACTAAGGCAAACAATTCTAGTATGATCAAGTTGGAACTTACACCAATTATTCGGACACCAGAAATTCGATTCTAAGAAGAAAAGAGTTAGTCATACATACCTCAATTGCGCTTCTTTAGACACTACAATTATCCGGAACCCTTAGCAACCTAAATCTATTTTTGCAATATACAAATTGAACCCAAAATTAGGAAAACGTTCATGATTATAGTTCACTTTTTATTTTTTCCACACTCTTTATCACATGCATGCAAGATGAACCACCTTCGTACCCATGAAGTATCACACTAATACCCCATTATAACTATGTTTGAAATTAAGAGCTGGGGTGATGAAGTCTTACCTTTTTGGATGAAAAATTTGGTGCTCTACTTGAATGTTTCCAAGCTTTGAGTGATGGTTGAAGATTAATTGATAAGAATTAGGCCCTCCCTCTTGAACCCTCTCTCTCTCACACTAGAAATATCAGAAATGAGCTTCAAAATAGACTAAAGGGGCGTTTTAACGAAATGTGGGTCGGGTTTTAAATTAAGAAAAGTGGTGCTCCGACACAGGTCTGCGGTCGCATATGCGACTGCATAACAGTTATGCGGTCTGCAAAGTGACCGCAGAAATGGCCCTCAGGGGCATGAACTTTCGGCCCAGGTATGCGACCAGTATGCGGTCCACATACTTGTTCTGCGGTCGCATAATGCACCGCAGAACTCTCTCCGCAAAAGCCCAAAAGGGATTATGCGACCGATATGCGGTCCGCATAGTAGTTATGCGGTCGCATAATCGACCGCAAATCTGACGTCAAATTGGCCAACTTACTGCTTCACTTCCGCAGAGTGATTATGCGGCCGCATAATGGGCCGCAGAAACGCGTTCTTCTGCGAAACATTTTCCTCTCAGTCCGTAAGGTACTGTTCAATCCAAAAAGTCTGAACCGCGCAGGAATCTATCTTGGCACCACGAAACGCCAAGTTTTTGGTTTAAATTTTTTACGGGTCCTTACAGTTACCTTCGGAACCGATTGGTTTATTACGCTTTATGCGTGCAGTAAACTTTATCCTTTCAGAGACTTTAATTTTAGAGCATTTGCAGCTGAAATATGATATTTAATTTTGGATCAGCAAATACTTCTGGCATTTGACTTGAATTATATTCTAAGTGAGGATCATATTAATGATAATTCGATTCATATAACATATTTTTCAACTGTTTATTCCATCCCCCAAATGTTAGAAAAACTAACACATATCTCCAATCTTCTTTGGAAAACCTATCTTTGTGCATTGTGGTAGAGAACTTAATCATATACCATACATCAAAAGTTATTAGATAGTAAAAATATTTGATTTATGATCCTAAACCAATTGTGAGGGGAGGATTTATCATATATTGTTGGTCCGATGCATACAAGTGTTGTTGTATGCAATTTAGAAAATCTTAGACCAACACATGAGGCTATGTTCTCATAAGCAATAGTTTAGCCATTAATAGGAGATATTCAATGCTAAACTAGCTTGGATATAAACCAGCATTATCAAGATGAACTATCTTGATTTCATAATCTGAAAATTATGCTCTTAAATGAGAAAAGCAATTTCAAATGCCAAACTGCAGGTTAACAACACACGTGTAACGATCTTATATATGCATCTACTAGTGGTTCACATGATAGGTGAATGAGCCCATATTCACCTTTTATATATATATATATTCCAGAATTCAGGGGTCTTAGTCCCAACTTTAGCTGGTATAATCAATTTATTATGAGAATAAGCAACACAAGAGAATTCCTGAAGAATCTTCTAGTTCTTCAGTATATGCTTATCTGAATTCTCAAATAGCTCATTTAAAAATGACAAATGAAAACTTCAAGTTTATCATGGCATGTGTTATCTCTTAGTAAGCTTCTGGTTTACTATGGCATAAACTTTTGCATTAGTAAACTTCTGGTTTACTGTGATACATGATGTAGTACAAATTGAATAATAAGACGGGTAAGTTCTCACATACATATTATTTTACCCCCTATGATTGTGGAAACATAAAGATTTTCAATCTTCCAATTATTTATAGTCTCAGTATGATCACCATTCGTATTAGTAAACTTCTGGTTTATTACAACATATGTTTTGACCACAATCATATAATATGAATGACAAATTTGCATATAATCTCTTCGGGATCCTTCAATTTATTGTCCACAGTTAAATATTATTCAGGCACTACTTGTGTCATGTGTCTTCTGGACAAACAATTAGCTCTTCAGGAGCTTTTAATAAATTTTGTACTACCAAATATCTCTCAAACACTTCTGGTATCATGAGAGAAAATTTCTTCAAAATGACATAAACAAAATAAATATGATAGTAAACATCATTATCAAATCATAACTTTTATTTATGTACAACAATTACATAATCATACTATCTACTATAAACGACAAAAATTAAAATATTTACATTTCTACAAATTCATCACCGATTACATGACTTGTTTCTCATTCCGGGAGTGCAAAGTAATCAACTATATCCAAATACATGAAGTCTAAATTATCTTCAGAAATAAAATTTATTTCAGCAATTTTCTCTGTCTTCTTCAGGGAGGCTTGATACAGCTCAACCAGGTGCTTTGGCGTACGACATGTACGTGACCAGTGCCCTTTTCCTCCACATCTATAGCATGCATTTCCTGCCTTTGCTGCTTGCACCGCTTCATGCTTTTGTTCCTTCCTTTTCCACTGCTGGTGGTGAGGAGGGTTCTTTGGTGCATTATTATTACTATAATTAGAGTTTCTTCCCTGACCACGGCCATGACCACGACTGGAGCCATTTCCTCTTCCACATTTAGCTTAGTGAAAGTTCGTCTCATTCACTTCAGGGAATGGACAAGAACTAGTAGGTCGGCTTTCATGGTTTTTCATTAATAGCCTATTATGTTTCTCGGCTACAAGAAGATGTGAGATAAGTTCAGAATACTTTTTGAATCCCATCTCTCGATATTGGTACTGCAGGAGCATATTCGAGGCATGAAAAGTGGTGAAAGTTTTCTCCAACATGTCATGATCAGTAATTCACCACATAGTTTCAATTGGGAAATAATTCTAAACATAGCAGAATTATGCTCACTGATAGATTTAAAATCTTGTAGCCTTAGATGAGTCCAATCATAATGTGCTTGTGGAAAAACGACCATCTTCAAGTGGTCATATCTATCTTTCAAATTATTCCACAGTATGACTGGATCTTTAATAGTGAGAATTTCCATTTTCAAACCTTCATCAAGGTGATGGCGTAGGAATATCATTGCTTTGGCACGGTCTTGGTTTGATGCTTGATTTTTGTCCATGATGGTGTCTGCCAGACCCATCGCATCAAGATGAATTTCAGCATCAAGCACCCAAGACATGTAGCTTTTGCCCGATATATCCAATGCTACAAACTCAAGTTTAGAAAGATTTGACATTATTTAGAAAAAGAAAGTTCGTACCTATGATACTTTCAAAGTATTTGCTCTAGATGGCAGAGTCTCGTGCTGATAACGTGTTATAAAATAAAGACTGTAAAGTAAAGACAAGTATAGGGAGAAACTGACATATTATTCAAATTTTAAACTTATGTACATAATGAACTGAAATTTCTTCTATTTATAGAAGAAAGCAAACTGATGTGTAAGATGCTACTGTACCAAATATAGATAACCTTCTACCGGGGTAATGTTTATCCATAACGGGATATCGAAAGGATAAGTTCATTATACCAGATATAGATAATCTTCTACCGGGTGTGATATTTATCCATAACGGGATATCGAAAGGATAAGTTCATTATACCAGATATAGATAATCTTCTACCGGGTGTGATATTTATCCATAACGGGGTACTGAAATGATTAGCTTCTTTAGGAGACTTATTTCCAATAGAGTACTAAATAGATAAACATATTTAAAGCGGAGTCTCATATAGATAAGCTTTTTCAGGAAGTTTATTTACAACATAGTACTAACTGAACATGCATAATAATATATTTATAACAATGCTCATATAGTTTTTGGATAGAGTTAAAAAAAATTCAAATCATGCACGGTCAAGCTTTTCTATAACAGTCAAAAAATTTTATACCACTTTTATATAACAGGTTAATTTTTTGAAATCAATTTTTCATGTTATGTTTACAATTTTACATTCATATTAAGCCAAATATTTACCCGAAAAAGAGATTTCTAAGATAATCTCGACAAACGGCCTCTCTCATAGGGAACAAAGAACTTGGCTGCTGTCTTGAATCAAAGCTAGAGCTATTCTCCATATACCTTGTCTTCCCCAGCCTCACAAACAAGGTAATAGTAATCGAATTCCATAAGCTTTTGGTTAATGTAGTTGATGAGTGGGAAAATAACCTTTATAATAACCGAGGTTATGTAGCTTTACAGTTTTCTAAGTCAGTATTGTGATGCCTTTTACCTGTTTGGCAAAATGCCTGAAAGAAATTTTACTATATTTCGTCTTTTCTAGAACTGTCCAATTGTAATAGTTGATGTTTTGCACAACTTTTAACTCTATAAAATTACTTGTTTATTTTCCATTCATGAAGGACTTTAGTTAACAAAACTCGAAATAGGAGTACTTTTAGTAGTTTGTGCAATTGACGTAAAACTTATCACAGGATGTTCTCTTTTTGTTTTTGTTTTTGTTTTTGTTTTTGTTTTGATGACTGAGAAATCCCCGAGGACTAGTAGTGCACTTATTATAGGAAGTTTTCTCTTCTATTTTCCCTATTGATTACGCAAGGTTCTTCTGATCGTCCTTTAAACCCTAAATCCTAAACCGGGTTTTCTAGATCATGTTTCATTTCTCCACATCTAGCTCGATCTCTGTTTTAAATTCAGTCGTCTTTATCACTTGTCTCGACAGCTCTACTCAGAACACCATGGATTCACAGAGCCAGAATACTTCGTTGCAGCGGCTGCAAAATGTTGAGAAGGTAAATGCTTTAGAGAATTATTGACTTAAGATGGGCTGATATCAGCAACTGCTACATTTGTATCTTTGTCTTCAAAATACTTTTGAGTTCTAATTTCAGTAACTGTTACATTATTGACATATACCGGCTGAATTGTATCTTTCTCTAACGTTTGCAGAGGATAGTTAGAGTTCTGGAGCTAGCAGGAGGTGTAATGGATGAAATGGCAAATCCAAGCGGTCCGAGGAAGGAGCTTATTAACAACCATTGCAGTGAGTTTATGCAACTAATCAAGGTTTGAACATTCTTTACTACTTCGCACCTAGAAGTTCTAGAACCTTTTTATCTGTTAACAAAACCATTTTATGTGTAATAAGAAGCCGTTAACCTTTCGTGCTGCTGCTCTTGGCATTTCATTGTATGACTCTGATGATACTCTTGCTTGGTTACTGTTTGTGGTTCTTTTTTTTTTTTTTTTTATGTGCATTTATTTGCCATTTGGTACTGAATGCGAAATTTCTATATGAGGTAAATATGGAAACTTATTGTTTGTACCTTTTACATTACGAACTAATTTGCTGTTGTCATGGGCAAAATACCATTAGTTTTGTCGGAAATAACTGAGTCTATACCTTGAGTTCTGATAGAACTAGATCAGTTTGAGAACTATATGGATGATATTTTACCTATTACAACAGGACATCCAGGTCACACTGCGCGAAGAAATCAAAAGCGCATGTGAATATCGTCCTTTTGAGAACTGTGACTATGTACCAAGAATATCAAATGAAATCTGTTGCAAGAAACTAGAATACGTTATTTCTCAGTTTGATGATATGAAGCGAACAATTGAGGGGTATCATGCTGCAGCGTTAGACCATATGGCCCTAGATTAGTAATGTAGGAATATGTCCCTGTAATGCTGGATTTATATGTCCCTGTAATGCTGGATTTATATCTATTCCACTTAAGTTCATTATCTGCTGTTGAAATGTTGGCATGAAACATTGGTGCTCACTTGTTTTTTGTTTATGTTGCAATATTGCTCTATTTGTTTGTGTACGTTATATACTGTATTTCTTGTCTGTAGTTGAAATTATAGTTGGTAGGAGAATGGTTATTGGTTATGATTGACATGCTGTGAAATTAAAAGAGCAGAGGATGAATATAATGAGTTGGTAAATACATTTGACTTGAATCTTAGTAGTAATTAGAGTTTAATTTCTGTAAAGTGTATAGTTCTGGGCAGAGAAAATGACCATCTAATGCGTAGGGAGTGGGCTATTTGGTCCTTGATGTATACCCTTAGCAGAATGTATAATTGTATACAGAAAGTGGACACTTTTGGTCCTAAACCCTTGGGGTTCGTTTGGTACGCGAGATAAGGTACATGGTTGATGGAGGATAAATTTATACCATCAATCAAACATGGTCTAAATTTAATCCCAGATTTAATACTGGATATACCACCTTATCCCACCTTATGCCATCAAACTTGGATCATTTTATCCCACCTCCTAGGTGGGATAAAATAGTCCGGGGATTATTATCCCGGGATAACTTAGTCCGCTTACCAAACGACCCCTTAAACTAATGATAGATGTTAAAAAGGTAACAACGAGAGAAAATTTTTATTTCCAATTTAGCAAATAATAAAATTAAACAAATGTGATAATCTGATTTCCAGTTTTTTATTTTTTATTTTTTATTTTTTATTTTATTTTATTGTTTCAAGCATTCGGTATTCAAAATTTACTAGCTTGGTTGATACTTCCTATCAAAGAGAACTTCATAATCAGAGCTCGAGCCAAAGATCTCTAATTAATGATAACGGACCCTTTACCATTTCAAAGAAATTGAGATTAGTCGTTAGATTCCAAAAAGTTCGGTTCCCATACTTCTAATCAGACTGTCTCTGTTGACTAAATTCAATCAGAATTCAATAAGACCAATCAAAATTTTCCAACTCATCTGTAAGACTAATTCCTCAAACTTTCTCAAAAACCACTACCTGGTCCACTTTAATTGATTTTTTGGCCTTTTTTTTTTTGTGGTCCACGGTATTTAAGTTTTTCAGATATCAGGAAGGAATTAAATTTTTTTTTCCAAAGTTGCCCTTGGAGTAAAGAGTTTAGGAGTATTTTTTATATTCCAATAAACAAATTAAGGTTAATGTAGTCAATTTTATTGTTAATTAATGCTAAAAAATAAATTCTTTAATATGTGTAAAAATAACAGAAAAATCAATTAAAGTGAACCGGAGAAAGTACATCCAGGTGACCACTCCCCAAAGCCCTTGGCTTTCATCATTTAGTATAAGCCCAAAAATTTGTCATCAACTTCTATGCACTTTCTCTCTTTCTCTTCTCAAATAACAAGATCTCATCAACTCTTCTTACTTCCAAGTCCACCCCAATATTTATATTCTCCCCTCCTTCCCTCATCCTCAAAACCACCAAATATCTCTTATATTTCTCTTACTAAGTTATTTTCATTTCCTTGAATCAAATATGAAGAAACTTTATAGTAAAGGCACAGTTCATCCAATTACTACTCCACCTCTGGTATTATCGGACCAGCTTTCTTTGTTACCAGCTACAATCTTGACACTATTTTCAGCTTTACCTCAAGAAGATAGACAAGTCTTGGCTTATTTAGTTTCTTGTTATTCTTCTAACAATTTCTCCAACAATCTTGGAAACTCTACTACTAATAAGAATAACAACAACTGCTGCTACTGTTTCAACTGCTACATGAGTTACTGGATAAAATGGGATTCTTCTCCTAATCGTCAACTTATTCATGAGATTATAGATGCTTTTGAAGATATGGGGTTGCAGAAGAAAAAAGGAAAGAGCAAGAAACATAGGAGGAATAAAAATAGAGGATCATATGAGGTTAAGGAAAACTCTGAAATTTGTGAATCTGATTCTTTGGAGGGAAATTCCAGCAGCTATGATAATGGTGATAGAGAAGAGGAATTAGGAGATGAGAAAGGGTCTGTGAGAAGGTTTGTGAGTTTTCTTGGGGAAAGCTTGTGGAGTATTTGGAATATCTAAAAACAATAACAACAAAGTAATCCCACGAAATGGGGTATGAGGACGGTAATGTGTACGCATCCTTACTCATACTTTGCCAAGGTAGAAAGACTGTTTCCATAGACTCTCGGCTCAGGGGAAGCATAGTCACGTCACTTTTTGAAAAGAAATACTTTTATAAGGTAATTTTGAGAATATTTAGGTTGGTTTTGTTCATTTTTACTTCTACTTATCCCATAGAAGTTTTGTTCAATTTTCTTTGTTTTTCTTTGTCACTATGTTTTATTTTTTTCATTTTTTGGGTTATGTAAAATACCCTTCATGACAATGTAAGATATATGGTCTTTTTTGAATGTTCACTTTCAACTTTATTCTATATTTTCATATATTGATATCAATGCTTAGTTAGGACTTCTTTTTCCCCTTAAACATTGTGGAGTAGTTTATGAATAAACCAAGTCCAAAAAGAAGCGAGTTTGTTTCTTTTGAGGAAATATTTTGTAAAGGAGATACACTTTCTTGGACTTTTACGGCTAATAATTGGAAAAAAAAAGTTAAATCAATAATTAAGTATAGGGTTTACATACTTGGAAAAATGGAACTTTAGGGAATTTGTTTATTTATGACCAATGAAGGGGAGCCTTGGCGTAACCGGTAAAGTTGATGCCATGTGATCAGGAGGTCACGAGTTCGAGTCGGGAAAACATCCTCTTGTAGAAATGCAGGGTAAGACTGCGTACGATAGACCCTTGTGATCCGGCCCTTCCCTAGACCCTGCTCATAGCGGGAGCTTAGTACGCCGTGTTTTTTTTTTTTTTTTTTTTTTTTTTTTTTTTTTTTTTTTTTTTTTTTTTTTTTTTTTTTTTTTTTGTGACCAATGAAAGAGGAGGGAAATTCTTGGTCATCCATGGACAGTTTGAAAACTTGATTAGAACAGGTCGGCCACTATTGTTTCTTTTTTTTCTTTAATTGGAAATTGAGAAAAGGGAATGGAAGCCTTAGAGCAATGATAAAACTGTCTTCGTGCGGCCCATAAGTTACGGGTTCGAACCGTAGAAACAACCACTAATGCTTGTATTAGAGTAGGTTGTCTACATCACACCGCTTGGGGTGCGGCTCTTTCTTGGACCGTAAACGCAGGATATCTTGTACACCGGACCGTCTAGCTTTATTGGAAATTGAGAAAAGTAGTACTCTATTGACCTTTTGTTGGACTGAGAAAATGACAGGGCCTAAAATTGTGTTCTACAAGTGATACGATTTTTTTTTTTTTGTGCATATTCAGAACTATTATTCCCGCAGAGTGCAGACCCAAAAAAAAGAAAGGAACTATTATTCCATTTCTTTCTATCATCATTGGGCTCGAGAAAACTCAATAGGGTACTTCTAGTTTTTGTCATGTTGACAAATATGGCTCAGACACTAGTGAGCTGGTTTATTTGTGTGTTTTCTCAACTATCTATAACTCAAGATAAATGTCTAAGCTCAGATAAAAATACCAAATATCAAAATATGGTAGGTAATAGTTCAATACAAACACGGCTGGGAAGTTAGCAGTTATTGATATTGTGCCGGTGAGAGATAGCATGTCCGATAAGTTGAGCTGCACAAACTTATAACACTACTATAAAAATAAAAATAAAAAAAAAACTCTACCGGCAACAGAAAATTGAGGTACTCCATCAGTTGCAACTTATGTGGCATATTTTCTTTTGTTTCAAAATCAATGATATTTTTTATATTTAGAAATAATTTAACTTTAAGGCTTTCATTTTATCCTTAATGAGATGATTTATAGTCACACACAATAAAAGACTCCAGGCCTCTTAGTTTCTTTTATCTCTTCATTTCTCATTCGGTATCTGACACTTGTTTTGGGATTTCATCTAATCCAATTTTCGACGCGTAAGATTAATTAAAGGGAGTCTATTTTTTTCATTATTTAACATTCTGCTTCCCATTTACGGTAACTCTTAAACAGATTGGGTATATTAAACTCTAGTTATAATTTGGACAGTTCAGGATCTCCTCTCTCCTTCCAGCAAATTACTAGCTCCCTGCATCAACACTATTTTAATTATAATTATTTCTGTTAAAATAAATATAAGTGTATCAATACTATAATGATCAATTATTGTTACTTAAATAAAACCATTTTTTTTTGGTTTGGTGAAGAATGTTGGTCTCAACTCCTATTCCCTCCATTATCAAATTATTGCCTGTTGAATATAAAAATATTCAGAACCCAGTTTTTTATTTGTATTAAATTCCTTATGATATATCCTTTTCTTTTTTTGGTAAAGGAACTTGGTCTCAACTCCTATTCCCTCATCATCAAATTATTAGATATTGAATATAAATATTCAGATCCAAATCTTTCATTTATTGGTATTTTATTTATTCCCTTGCCTTATGTCCTTTTTTTTAAAAAACATTGGTAAGGACAATGATCTCAACTCCTATTTCCTCCATCAAATTATTCGATGTTGAATAAAAATAATCAAACCCAATCTTCAATTTAATGAAAATATAATTCCTTACAATATTTCAATATTATAAACTATATCGTGGATTCCCTTATCATTATTCTTTACAACGCATCGTGTATAATCTCTTTTGCTGATCGAAATATCATAGTTTCGCATCATTCGTATATACATTATTGATTGTTTTCTATTAGCATGTCACCAGATGTGACCCAGGATTTTGAAAGTGGTGGAAGGACCACTGTCGAATAAAAAATTGAACAAATGTTGGAGCAGGAATCAAACAAGTATCACACTCAAAGGTTAAATAGTGCCCCCTTCTAAATCGACCNTATATACTAGTTTCTCGCAACGTGCGTAACACGTGTATATTAAGTTATGTATTACATGATTGTTAGGAAAATAAGACAGTCCAAGGCACAAATAACATCATGTATTCACGCAGGATCCGAAGAATGACTGTACCCCAGAGGGTATAATATAGAAAGTCTACTCTAATACAAGCATTAATAGCTGCTTTCACAGCTCGAACCCGTGACCTATAATTCACACAGAAACAATTTTACCGTTGCTCCAGGTTCCTCTTTCATGTTTAGGAAAATAGATTTTTGGGAAAATAATAAATTGGTGGCTTTGATAAAATATTCTCCGTCTTGCAACCGGAAAGCAATCTTTCACATAGTTCATGCATACTAATAAATTGTATAGAACAAATCAATTTCATACAAATAAATTATATTCTAAGATCATCACATAACGAATATTTACCCTAATATTTTTAGAGATTGAATTTCATAAACCACAACAGGAACCCAATTTTATTATCACTTTCTTCTTTATGACGTTTTGATATTGTCTCCAACTGTAGCAAGCTAGTGATCTGATTTATGATTCACTATTATTTTTCATACTAGTTAATTTGTTTGCGCTTCGCACGGTAATAGAACACGTTATTGCATTTTAAAATATATAGTAAAATATTTCAAAAAATCTTACTTATTCTTTTTGATTCTTCAAATTCTAATAGATTAATATAGGTGAAACTATTTTTTATTTTTCTTTAATAAGCATGTAAAGTAAGAAAAGAATCAAGAATATTGATCTCTTTAATTTATAGAAATAAATGTTTGAATAGTTCGTTGAAGAAACTTCTTATTGAATGAGAAAGTTTCTAATATTTGAAAAGGATTAATACATTATCGTTATTCTAAAAGGTCAGAGACGGAGTGTACTCTAATTTTAGAACAACGTCAAAGTTTCTTTTGTTTAAGAAAATAAAAATATTAACCGGAATATGAGATGTGAAATATGTTGCAAATAAAATCAAACTCCATCAAACGAAATATGAATTGGTTCCTTTTCTTTAAAGCAAGTACATATCAATTTTATACTATTATTTTATTAAGAAAGAATTAGCTTCTAAGCAACACCATTTAGCATTCGCATTCCAAATGGGAAAAGGGCCGACAAATGTACTTAAAAATCAAAAAGAAAAGATAAGATAGAAAACGCAAGAACACAAGGATAATTTCTAAAATTATTTCAGGAAGATTAAAAAGAAATTTGACAAACAAACGAAAATAAATTCTAGGACAAAAGTAAATGGCACCTAATACATAACAATGATTGAAGACAAGGATGAGAAAAGTGGGATTGATCTTGTAAATCAACAGAGTAAGTAAGTTTTGAACTTTGTAATCATTCATATGAATTTAGCAATGCATATGACATATAGGCACTAACATAATTATTTATATCGGGTTTGTCTATGCATTTATTATTACCCACATTCGTGAGGCAATTTTTTGATGATTAACTATATCATAGGCAGATTAGTATTTTAAATCGAGAAAACCCTTAATATAACATATACCTACAAAATAAAAAATGAAAGAAAGACAAAGAGCAAAAAAATTACCTTGAGAGCTTAGAACGTGATATCCATATCTACTAGACTTCAAAGCTAGCTAACCACAGAGTCATCAAAGTAATAGATAAATAATGATGTCGCAAACTATACTTATCATTATTTCGTAAATTTAAACAGAAACTCTTGAAGAAAAAAAAGAGTAGACACCTCTCATTGATCTTCATTTGCTCTTCGAGTTTCTTCATTATCAAATTATCATCCTTATGGATCTAAATCTTCAGTTTATCATTCTTAACATATATTATCATTATCATAGAATAGTAATGAACCATAATTGTGGAATAGGGAAGGTTGTAACGGTCCGTAACATTCATTATTGGGATCGTTTCTTTCATTAATGGGTGGATATTATATTGTATAAAGAAAAGAGAAATTTTCATAATTACTGGTGAAATAAAAAAATATTCCACAATCTACAACTATTAATGAAATAACATATTCTACAACATATCCATAGTAAATGTACAGACGTCAGCCCTCATGGTAGATTTTCTATTAATTAGGAAACTGATTCTAAAAGTATGAAATTAAAATAAACACCTAAAAATAAGGGAGTATCCTTATTTAGGGTAACATAAAGGAAATCAATATCAAATGCAGTCTATTATTTTCTAAACAATCTCCTTCTCCTTTACTACCTTTTCAAGCTATAGTTCTACGTATCTGCATTTCAACTCCAATATCTCCTTCTCCTTAAAATGATAGGGTATATTTATATTATATACGTATATGTCATCAATATATGTTTTACATTTGAAGTAAATATATCACATAATCTATTTACATACTTGTAGTATACATAATATATATAATTTATATTAGCACCAATATATAACATTTATTCATTATATTCGTATACCAAATATATATTATCTATATATTATTAAAAGGAGAGGAAAAAGTCCTCTCCTTAAGCCAAGTGGCTGCTTAGAAACAAGCCGCGTGGCAT